TAAATCTGTACATTTTTCAGCCCAGACAGTCTAAACATCTAACACAACAACAATAAAAGTCTTTCTTTCTACTGTACTGAACTATTTACGAACGTTTTCAGTTCATTCCTGCAGTTTAAGAGGAGCAGGTCTGCTCAGCTGATTTACATACAAACTAATCTGATGCTGATTGACATGAGAATCCACATGAAACGGAGGCTGAGCCATGAACAGAGAGCACAGATCACCTTTATAGCAGTTTAATAGACTATTCTGTTTCATTCTGTCAATTAAAACTATCAGAGACTGCGTACAAACTGATACATGGCTCTGATAACATTTTATTAAATCGGAATCAGATCTAGCAGAATGTTTCTGTGCAGACTGCTGGAAACTGTCGGACTTTATTGCTGCTTTTTGTCTTTGCCTCCTGGTGTTAACGCTACCTGCTCTTGTACGCCTCCGATGTGAGGCGCAATTCATCTCAAATAATCCTAATGACAACATGCTAGAGAAAAATCCAAGGAATCATTAAAGTCTGTGGGATTCATCCTCTGGGGACCGTGAATGTCTGAATGAACTTTTAGGGCAGCTGATTACGTCAGTCTGCAGTGGAGGACAGGCTGAAAATTCAAACTATGCATTGGTTTCAGGCTTTTAAATGTAAAAGTTTGCTCTTTTTCTTAAATTTTAAATACATATTTACGTCAGACTCAACATTTTTCAGTCACAAAGGCCATTAAGGATGGACACGAGAAAATAATCAATACTTGTAATTGTAAATAAAACCTTCGTTCACCCAATTGCAAGCTTCCTAACTAAAGCAAGGCATGATTACAAGTCAAATCCCTGCAGCAACACACAAAAAAATGTATTCTTCACAGGATAAAATATAAAGTTTCAAACCCTTATTTCTTTTGTTTCTGTTTTGGACAGTTTGTCAGTTGCCTTGTCAGTTCTCAGCCGATAAATTCACATACTGTACCGTTTAGCCAAAGGCAACCTTTTTTTTAATTGAGCCAAGAGCTCAATTTCCTGATTGGAGCCATTTTTTATTTCCCGAGTCTGTGTGAAAGCGAAAAAAACCAACATTAACGAGACCCAAGTGCCTTCCGAAAGCCCAGAGCTGATCTGAGTTTAACAACATTTACAAACTGTGGCAGCGATGTTAAACGTGTGAAGTTACAGCTCCTGCAGAACAAGAATCTGAGATTACTCACTGAATCTGCCTTCCCTATTCGTCTCCATCCTTACCTGAGCGCCCGTCTCTCTGGATGTCCACATGGTGCCAGGCGCCATCGTTGACCTTCGCCTGCGTGGCCTTGACCTTGATGGTCCCGGAGCCCATGTCCAGCAGCAGGTACAGCCCTCCGTCCAGCAGCTCCACCGCAAAGAAGTCCACCTTGTTGTTCTTCTGGCCCTTGGCGTCCCGTCGGTCCTGAGGTTTGCCGTGCGTGAACAGTATCAGCCCGTTGGGTTCGGACGTGCGGAAATCGAAGGAGATGGAGCCCACGCGTTTGGTGTTCCACTTCGGCAAGGCCAGGTAGGAATCGGGGGTCTCAAAGTTGATGGGGTCGAGGGTGGGGACGTTTTCGCACTTGAAGACCACGTCGCCCTGGAGTTTCATCTTGGGGTCGACGATGCGGGCGAGGCGCGACAGCTCCAAGCGAATGTCGTTGTTCTTGTACACCACCTGGGGAAGACACAAAAGGGAGGATTCTCATATATGCAGGCAAGGGTAAGGACGACCATCCCAGTGAATTGTGCATTTTACTGTTTGGCTTATTCACAATCTGTCACTGTAGGACATAATTTGCCAAAGCTGTAATGGCTGGAGAAAAAATATTTATTTCTATATAAATGAATTGGACTCTATTGCAAACTGTAATATTATGGGATCGTTCTCTGGTTTTATTACATATCGCAGATTCGAGGACAGCCGGATCGATAAAACTAATATCTTCTAAGGTTTGTTTGTCTCAGTCATTTTCTATTTCTACTTCAATTTATCTGTGATGAAAAGGAGATTGTACACAAATGCATGACTGTATTTTCGTTCGATTGAACACCTACTGTCTGAGCGAAGTGTGAGAAAGTGATGGCTAAATCATTAGCCAGCCATTCCTGGTGATGTTCAGAACACCGGCCTGCATAAATGGAGGGTGAAACCTCGTGGGAGCATCTGCGACCCCGTGAGAATATACCCAATATCATACCTATTTACTCGCAATAAATTCACACCATCCCCCTAATCTGTCAAAGTAGAAAGCAGCTCCACATTATAGTCAAATACAACAAAATACCACAGAAAAGGGGAGCAGAATATTGTCAATTGGAATCCATTGATGCGGAAAATTAATGTTTTTTTTTTTTTTGTTTCCCCCCCACTTTCTGAGCAGGAAGACGGGCTTTTTCTGGTATATAGGGCAGTGTGTGTGCAGGAAACAGCAACACTGTTAGAGGGAGCACAGCTGTCAGCAAACAGATTTCACTGCTGTGGGATTACTGATAATCCTGGAAGATTTGACAGTAAATCAACACAGGTGACCCGAGCGCTGAGGAGGACTGACGAGAGGGGGACGGAGAGAGAGAGAGAGAGAGAAAAAGAGTTAAAAAAAAATACAAAATAAAACCAGTGGGGGGAACGAGACAGACGAGCTGGTGAGAATAAGAGTAGCAGCAGGGATGGAAACTGCACAAGAAAAAAAAAAAAAAAAACACGTCAGGAGGCAAATAGAGAGACAAAGAGGAGGAGATCTCAAAGATTAAACGCCGTAAGGCCAGTATGTGCTTGGAAAATATGCTTGCGCGAATGATAGTTTGCGTGTCTGTGTGTGTGTACAGTACAAACAAAGCGATGTAGCTGTCAATGCGGTTAACGACCACACTTAATCTCCCCAACACGAACACAACAAAATACTTACACACTGTCAGGCTTTGTTAATCTACTGGTAATGTACCACACATTACTAATTCAGTTAATTTCATTTTAAATGCAGTAAATGAAACCCCCTGCAACAATGCGTGCGCGAACAGAAAGCTACACTATGGAGGAAAATGCAGTTAAATGTAGGAGTTTAAACGTAAAGGAGATTTCATTGAGCAGAGGCTTCTGGCTTTTATTTTCAGTAAAGACCAGAACATGTGTCTAAGCTAAGTATCTTAGAATATATCCTCAGTTTATTTGCATGCAATGAATATATTGTCATCCTGCTCTACAGAATAATCCTTTTCATACGTTGCAATATCATAAGCCGGTGTACAACGAAGGTGCCACCTGCAGTAATGACGGTTTGTTTATTTCTGCCTAAAGCCTGTATTGGCCAGAAAATAGTAAAGGATATCTCTCAAATTGCTTGTTTTGTCCAGTACACAGTTTAAATAGGAAAAAAATGATTTTCTACTCAAATCAAACCACAACTGAGAAGCTGGAATGAGAAGATGTTTGACAAATCTGATCAAAGAGCTCATGTTATGCACATTTAAATGTTTATACTTTCATCATTGAGGTTTAATATAATATGATATCATCCTGTAATGTTTAAAAGAGGGCTGCAAGGTGCGCCGTGGTTAGCACTGTTGCCTCGCAGCAAGAAGGTTGCCGGTTCGCACCAGGATCTTTCTGCGTGGAGTTTGCATGTTCTCCCCGTGCAGCGTGGGTTCTCTCCGGGTTCTCCAGCTTCCTCCCACAGTCCAAAAACATGTTGAGGTTAATTGGTGATTCTAAATTGTCCGTAGGTGTGAATGTGAGTGTGCTTGGTTGTCTGTCTCTAAGTGTAGCCCTGTGATAGACTGGTGACCTGTCCAGGGTGTCCCCTGCCTTCACCCTAAGTCAGCTGGGATAGACTCCAGCCCCCCGTGACCCTCGTGAGGATTAAGCGGTGTATAGATAGTGGATGGATGGATGTTTAAAAGACATTTTATTTTACTCGTGTTGTACATTGCTAAGGCACCACTTCTCATTCTCTTATAGCGCCTGTCTCTTTAAGACCCTTCAGCCAATAAGCCCAGTCTGCTCTGATTGGTCAGCTGATGCAATGTAATGCTGGTGATGTAACATGGATGCTCGGGGACTAATGGAAGCTACCATTTGTTGAGGCTAGTTTTTCTTGAAGCAAAATCTGAACAAAGAGGAAAACTATTTTGACCTTGCTGATTATTTCACAGATAGTCTCACATGGCCAGCTCTGTCTCCACAGGACCTTGTCAGTGCTGAAGAATCGTCTGTTTCCACCTCATTGTCATTCTGCTATAGGCTGGGAATAGCACAGGATTGTTTGTATTTCTTTAAACCTATCACAGTAGTCTTTGGTGCTACTCAGCCCAGGATGCAGCAATGGTGCCCCCACAAATTAGTGACAGGGGAATTGTTTTGGTGGAACATTTGTACGCAGGAAGGCGAGCGCTGTCATTAAAATGGATATTTATGGACAGAACCAAGCAGGCCTTCCATACTGAATGACACAATCCCTCTGTAAAAGGTTGAAGTTTCTTATGGCAAAGGAAATTTTGAAAGCAGCAACACACAGACAGTGGACGAAGAAGGAACAGCCGTGTGCAATGTGTGATGGAAATGGCAGACTTATAGCTGCAGTCCACTTCTATAAAGTCAGACTAGTCCAGACTAAGTGACCTTTTAAAGGCCCCAAAAAGCTCTGACACACTAAGGCCTCATTTTCACGTAGCTCTGTTTCATTGTCTGTAATTCTGTAATACACAGATCCACAATAGTGTTCAACACATAGATACTATATTCTTTCCAAATGGAAACTTAGATAGAAACGCCACTGGAAAAGATGCTAATTTTAAAGAATATTGAGCATTACTGTGACAAAAACAGGGGCCAATAATGTGTGGTGGGGAAAAAGTGTTATGAAATATGTTGTTAAAAAACAACACTAAATACATTCTGTATATTACACAGTTAGCATGTGTTGAACAAGCTAAACTACAAACTTTGAGCTCGTGATAAGCATGTTAGCTGCAGGTTGTCTGGAATTCCACAAACACATCAGATATCATGAGATAGGAGTGAATGCAGTCGACTGCTTTCATACATAGAGATATTGAAAATGATTCCTAAAGGAAAGGGAATCCAAAAAGCATAGCATAGACTCATGAAGAAGTTACTAAAACAGATTAACAAAAATATGCCAATTAGTTTTTGTAGATTGATCATTTTAGCTCTACAAAGGACGGATGCATTTTTAAAAAGCTATCATAGTGTTGCTGTAAGTTTGTTGTAATTGTTTGCATATGATGATCAGCTAACCTCCTGATTTGAGAGAAAATTTACGCACGATTTCTGCACTATTATCAATCAGAAGCAGCAGTATTTGCTATTATTGCATTGCAGTTACCCAACTATCAAATTTAGTGCACACTGTGAAATTATCATAAGCGTCTGGTGATTTTGAAAATGTTATTTCACTGAAACGGTGCCCTGTAGCTCAAAACCCTTTTAGTTTTAACCGTCATTACTGATCTCTCCGAAACACTGATGTTTTTATGTGTTTTCTTCTGAAGCCAAATACCTTGCATTCCACTTTCAGCACGCTTTCAGACTACTCTTGGGCAAGAGAACAAACTGCATATTACATGAAAAGAGAACGAGAGAAGAAAGAGATCCTTTAATGCTGCTCATTTGCAATGGAGAAATTTGTTTTTTTTTTAATACCACTGTGATGTCACCGCGCAGCTCTTAGATGTAAATCGCTCAAACTTGCCAAAGTTCTAAGGCGCTCTGTCTACATCTTTGAGACAAGCAGAATTTTCTAGACGTGGAAAAATAATTAAGCTTTGTGATTCCCTTTCCATCAGAGGCACAACAGGTTGGTTTTTATACTCTGCAAACCCCCAGTTTGTCTGACTCATGAAAAACTTGCACTCTATTTTAATTTTCTTGACTCTGGAAAGTCTTTACAAACTCTCCCACGCACCGTAGTGTTATTCTGGGACATACTAATCTTCCCATCAACCATCCCTGATCTGTTTTGGGATTATGGTTTTGTCTGCCCTGCTGCAGCCTGATCAATAAGGTAATCGAAATGATGTTATAAAAGAGGAACTGACTACCACGGCTATATGTACCTCATCTTTTCCTTTGTTATGGCTGTGCTTTGCTACGCTATCCTTTTGCCTATCAACAGCCTTATGGGGGCCATTCATAATGCACACACTGGGGACTGTAACGACTCCATAAAGCCCAGATCTTCCATCTCTGCTCCGGGATGGCGTATTGATCGGGCCCTGGTAAGGCAACAAGGAGACGGGGGTGAGGGAAGGGCAGGTGGGTTGAAGAGCAGGGTATGAGCACGCAGACACAATCTCCTCCCTAATCTACTTCAGATCAGTGCTCATGTCCTTTTGGCCCCGACCACAGCTGCTGTCAGCTGCTGATTTAGCCCCAGTGTTAATGAAGAAGCAGGGTAATTCCACTAAAGTGCAGTAAGAGATTCACACACACAAGGTGCTCATAAAGCCTCTGCACAACAGACCGCCGCTCTCGCAAACAAAAATGACAAATACAAAAAAATGCAGCTGCGCCGACAGAAACACCACAAGATATTTCCTAGGGGCCTGTTGTTACCCGCTTCCTCGCACCGTGAGATGCCGAGGTAATGGAATTTTGTGTGCGGTGTTCAAAGCAACAAAAAAAAATGACATTTCAAAAACATAGCAGCAACATGTCTT